TTTTTGTTTTGTTTTGTTTTGTTTTGTATGTTTGTGGTCGTTTATAGCATGAACACGCTCTCGAAAACTGAGCTCGGATCGATCTTGGTTCTATCCAACATACAGATCGATCTAAAATGGACCTAGTGTGAAAGACGAGCCCTTAGCCCTGCCCTGATTTTGATGGCAGAAGTGACTTTCAGGGTTTGATAACGTAGAACGGTATTGAGAGAAAACTATTGTCAGAATCAAATGAATAGTGCTTCTTCCGATTACAATGAATTCTTTCAAAGAAGCTAGTTTACGAATTCTACAAAGGAAATATTAGGCGCATTATCGCGTTGGATTTTAATGCAAACGTTTACAAAAGTTTTCTACATATCTAAATATTTTTAGTCTATTATCTAGAATTCTACAGCAGAGGGCATAAGTTTGACCCAGATAGGTTCAGCCATAGTTAATAGCTATGGCGCAACTCAAGCTACAACTCGGCTACGGATACTCTGTATTCACTATCAACTTATATATTACTTATATTACTTATATATATTTATATATTTTTTTTCTATGCTCAGCCAACAGCTTCTAACAGCATCATTTTCTTCAATTTATTTATTTATTTTTCTGAGAAAGTGAAAGTTATTAGAGTCGATAAAAATGCAAAATGTTGGACGAACTTGTTTCAGTTTAGTCAAAAATTTCCCCTGAATATATAGTCTTTATTTTAAAACTATTATTTTATATCACTAGGATTTGATAACTCTTTGCTCCCTAACTGGGTTAGAATTGTCTTAGATTCAGTTGTTTAATACAACGATGATATTGTGGATGGTAGCAACGAGCTATTATTAACACTCAAGGGTACTCGTATGTTCGTCCAGTATTTTTTAATATATACGAAATAAGTCACGCTTGGAATAAATATGTGAATAACGGCGTAAAATCTGAAGCCGAATGCAGTCTGCGAGTTTATACTGAAGTATCCAAATCACAAGTTCTTTAAAGCCATTCATTGATGATACGTTTTATTCATTTTTTAGCAGTGTCTTTTAGGAGTTAGATAGATTTAAATGGGTTTTATTTGAGCGATGTCTAGGGTTGAATCTCACGATTTATTGATGTTTTGTTCTTCATGTTATGTAAATTATCATGGTAGTCAGTCCCATCACCTGTCTCTGTCAAACCTCTTGTTTGTTAACATAATTGACACTGGTAATCAACAGGGAACGATTTTTACTGGCAATTTTACGTCCTAAAAATCATTTTAACTAGAATAGAGCTTGCCTAGCTTAAGTATACAAATGCATGGTGTTTTGATCTATCGCGATTTATTCCTAGCCTGGTAGTGAGATATACGTCTAAAAATCAAATATAATACGAAGATTAAAGAAATAAACAAATTACTTATGATGAGCAATTAAGTTCTTTTAGTTTATAGTTATATTCGTCTAATACTTATCCATAAAATAAACTGAGCTCTTCGGAGGAATCCACGAAATCCGAGAAATCTGCAGTGCAAGCCTTGGCTGGGCCGTACAAGATTTTGGTTAAAATAACTTTTAAGAAAAGAATTTTTCATCGTCACATTCATATCAAGATATTTCATTCCTTTTTAGTGTCTTAGTATTTTACTTATTTTTTATTTGTCAGATTGGTTATTATTTTGTTATTGTATTATTGTATTATTATTGTTAAGTTGCGGACTTAGACGAGATCGTCAAATACACAACATATTTTACAAAATACTACTACTACTACTACTACTACTACTACTACTACTACTACTACTACTACTACTAC